CCAGGTTTTTAGTCCCTGCTCGAGTACTTCAGAAAATGTCCATGGCCAATTGCCACAACACGGCTTGTAGCGCAGCGGTCTTCTTGGCGTCTTCTCCGTGCGAAGTCGCGGGATCGATCCTTCTCCTTGCGTAAATAGGAGAGTTTTTTTTTTGTTCCAGGCGCGCGGGCTTTCTGGCCCGCATCAGGCCCGCGCGCGGCCCGCAGTCCTCACCCATTCTTCGGCCCGCGCAGCCCGCGAGCAGCCTGGTGCCAGCCCGCGTGCTCCCAGCAGCCTCCTGGCCCAAATTCGCGTGTCCCGGCCCAATTGCAACGTACCTCCGCGGCCCAAATAGCTGAAGCGCGGCCCAGAGACTTGGATATCAGCTCCAGACCGGTCCAAGTGAGCCCAGCAACTCCAGCTCGAGCCCAGCGCGTCTCCAGGCGGTCCAGACCACTCCAGATTGTGACCAGCGAGCCCAGACCCGGTCCAGGAGCGGTCTAGCAGGTCCAGCAGCTCCGGTTCGTGTCCAAGGCGGTTCCCGAGTGGTCCGAGGAGTCCGATTCACTTAACGAAGGTCCGAGACGATCCGATGAGCTTGATGAACGACCGAAGCACCATGGTGACTCGATTAGAATCGAGAAAAGCCAAGTCTAGCTGCCCATTAGACTTTGGTGTTCAGACGATCTCCATCAACGGAAATCAGAAACGTCTCAATGTCGGCAAAATTTTTTAAACCGTAAGTCCTAATCCTAACTATAGATTCCGTTGCGTTAGGATTTATTATTCAATAGATTTGAATGTGCACATTGTCGACGTTCCTCACAGAACCCAACAATGAACCCGCCGCTGCATTCCCCGGGAATGAAGAAGACGAAGAAGGTGAGATTTTTTTTACTTAACTACAAATATATATATATATTGTTTGTTTTTATTTATTTGTCCGGTCGAATTACTGATTGTTTTAAAAAATTAATTAATTAGATGAAGAAGCAGTCACGCATGGACCGATTGCAGCATCGTCTTCTTCGGTACCACAGCCTCCTCGGAAAGGGTCCCGAGTACGCAAGCCTAAGAATCGATATACTCCTAGTTAGTTAGTTTTGTGGACATTTTTTTTATTCTTTTATTTTTTGTACTGAATTTTGAGATATTTATTTTTGATGGTTTTGTGTATATATTTTGTGGTTCACTTTTTTTTATCGGTAATTGTGGTTGACTTTTTGTATATAGTGTGTCGTGTGTATGTATGCATGTTAGATTATTATTTGACGAATGAATTAATATTAAAGTAATATTATTTCGTGTTCAAAATGTTAAATAAAAATTTATAAAAAAACCTTCATATTGAAAGATAAGAATAAATTGCCGTCAAAATAAACGCGGACGCTAGTAAACGAGTTCGTGAGCATCCAAGAGTATTATATTATATACTATAACATATACCATATACTATATAATATACTATATACTATATACTATATTGTATTATATAGTATATATTATATTGTTTGTAATATAATTGTATATACTATGGTAAATTATAATATATATGTTTTATAGGGTTCGAGTCTGCCCGGAGAAAACAGACTCGCCCACATGTATAGGGTTCGAGTTCCGAATCTGGGGTCCTTCTACAATTTTTTTTCCTGGAAAACGGATTCTCAGAATCCGTTTTTCAATTAATTAAATTAAAGAATCCGTTTAAAAAAAATATATAAAATAAATAAATAAATAAATAAAAACAGATTCCCAGAATCCGTTTTCCATTATAAAACGGATTGTGAAAATCCGTTTTACGAAACACGGATTTTCAGAATACGGTTTTCTTTAAATTAATTAAGGTTAATCACGTCATTAAAGAAAAACGGATTATGGAAATCCATTTTTCATTCAAAATTAATGAAAAACGGATTCTCAGAATCCGTGTTTAAAACACGGATTTTGAGAATCCGACTGTTTCATTTTTTTCCACATTTTTTTTTTCTACTTTTGTTTTGTTTTTTTAAATAAATAAATGATTCCTCTCACACAAGGAAAATAAAGATAGAATAGAACCCCATTTGCCATTTTTCTTCTTTTATTATTACTATAATATATATATATATATATATATATATATATATAATTACTAGCTCATAGCATTTAATAAAACCTATTTAATTTTACCTACGTGGCAATTTAACCAATTTCCCTACAAAAACCGTTACTTTTGATGTATTTAATCTTTCATTTAACATTAAATAATCAACACTAATCACTTCAAAATTACAAAAATCATTTTAAAACTTTTGATTACTTACAGTTACCCATCTAATGTGTTAACCGTATAAAGTGATTAAATGTTATTATTGTGGTTACATTTAAATTAATTTTTTTTAAAATAAAAAACGTATTTGAAATTCCTAAATAAAAAATGAATAATTCACAAAAAAAGATGTACATTACATCCAATAAGATAAACGTAATTTTAAAAATAAATATTCTAACTCCTTTAATTGTAAATTTGGCCAGCAAAAAAGTGAAAGAAAAAAAATTATTAATCATTATATGCATACAAATAACTCACAATACTTTATTTACATATGTGCAAATGCATAGGGTCGAATACTAGTAACAATAATCAGCCAAGCAAACACACCTCAACTTTTATTTCTCCCTTTCCTAAATTATTCCTTGTGTTAAGAAAAAGTGGATTTACCACTATTAACAAGTATTATCCTATTATTATTATATATATATGTGTATTGGGATGTGTGCCCCTTTGCCTATAAAAGGGGCCAAACACATTGTGATGTGTGTACCGAATGTGAAGAAATAAAGCAACTTATAATTTGTTCCGGTTTTTATACATTGTGTTCTTTATATTGCTCGCATTTTATAACACGTTATCAGCACGAGCGCTCTACCCGGTCAAGAAAGGTAGGATATACATACATATTACTATTATTATTGACAAGTTAGGCTCTGCCACAGTCAAGGATTTATATACATATTACTATTATTTTTGACAAGTTAGGCTCTGCCACAGTCAAAAAAATATATATATTACTATTATTCTTGACTAGTTAGGCTCTGCCACAGTCAAGATATGTATACTAAATATGATATTATATACACAT